AATTTTTTTTTCAGGGTTTTTTTTTTTTTTCTTTTTGGAAGTTGGTATATAAGTTTTTTTACATTTCTTCCGTTTACAAGGTGGATTAAATTTGAATGGATTAACCCCAGCGAACAGGGCTTCATTTCACAGGGCATTGCTAGGTCCCTCACTGTAGTAGCGGGCCCCCCCTAGCCAGAAAAAAAAAAAAGAAAAAGCGACGAGCCCTTCTGTGTGTGTATTCTGACAGAGACCTGAGTACATCAAGCGGTGTTCAATTTGAATTTACTGAGTCCATAGAGTTCGGATTGCAATTATCGAAAATCATTAAAATGCTTTAATCATTGTTACACTAATATTACTACGAAAATGCAGCTTCATAGTTGAGTAAATGTCACGCAATTTGGACTGGTTGGGATTAAAACCTCTATTTTAAGTTAAATTATAGCCGACAGTTAATTTTAATCACATATTTCATTTCGTAACACTTTCCATTTTTCAATTATATATTTTACAACTTTTATCAAAGTTTACTAAAAATGTGATTTTAATTCCTATCAAACAAGAGTAAGTATAGTGGCAACTTTGCTTTCCCATTTGGATATGTACTAGACCATACTTTATTCCTAACCTGCTAATCAATCCGCTTGTTGAAGAAGCATTGAAAGTTCAAAAGGAGAGACTATTTCGAAATTTACCATGCTTGTTCGGATTTCATCATATGCTACTAAAATTATAATGTTATAGATTTAAGTGATATATTAGTCATATGAAATGTATGGTTATAATTAAAATTTGATTTTGACCTTTAAATTTTATGAAACTTATGATAAAACACAAAACATTACGGATTGTGGATTAGTCCAAAAGTAAAGCCAACTCCTGTTTATATTCATTTAACAAGCCGTTAGCCAGTGTTCGGATAAAATCTGCAAGCATACGAAATCATTGGCAAATAATAGAATTGACGAGTTGAGTTATCGTCCCACAAGGACTAATAGCTAACTATAGTTTACCAGTTTCTATCAAATCCAATGTTGATAACACAAAAGACACATGATTTTTGTGATTATCCTAAATTAAACTGTTAATAATGTAAAAGATTGGTTTTATCTGCTATGAGACATGTATTAGATTTCAAAATTCACCTATTGATTTCTATTTTCAATGCTCAACTTAAAAAAAATTAGTGTTATTTAGGAAAATTCTACTTGTACATAATTATTGCATATAATGATATTCATAATGTGATGTGGCAATCATCCGATTGTTAATGTGCAAGTGTGGTATTTGAATTAAAGGTTGGATCCAATGACACGTATAATTATGTCACCATTATATAGATAATTATGTACATGTATTACTTCCTTGTTATTTAATTGTTCGTAGCAATCGATAATCCGTTAATGTCTAATATTCTTTTCCAAAATATATCAAATCTATCCTTAGCATGATTCCGCCATATTTCTAGTCCGAATTCATATGCAAAAAAAGTATTCAATCACATGATTATCACTATAGATTGCATACGCACTAAAAAATTGTTAATACCTAGTACTCGCATGTCAAATAAGCAGTATTCTATTTATTGTAAATTTGTCAACACTACAATAAGTAACAAGTTATTTAATTTGTAGCTAATCAATCAAATAACACAATAGTCATGCATATTTAATCGCAAATACAAGAAATAACTAAAATACGATAAGTCTTGAATTAGAAATATAATTCAAAAGATTTTATCATTCATCCAATACACAAAAAGTTTAGCCTAGTATTATGCTATTCAAATTATACAAGAAGATATTGAAAGACACCACCCAAAATTAAAAACAAAAAAGGTGAAATACTCAAAAACTTGATTTCTTGCACTTCAATCTTTAATCTGAGCTTTGATACTTCAAATCTTTTTGTAAAATTCTTCTTAAGCACTTGTTAGACTCACTTAAATGATAAAAATAATGGTTTTTCATGTTCTCGACCTTGTTTAGGTCATATAAGATGCTAAATATGTCATTCCATATATAGTCGGATAAAAAAAAACGAAATAAAAATCTTTTCATGGGAATAAACCAGGCGCATGCCTAGTAGTAAGTGAGATGAACGCCTCTGAGGCCATTTTTGGCTTCTAACAGGGTTACGAAGGGGTAAAGCGCACGCCTAGTTATGTCCTCGAGCAGCTATCAGTATTTTTGTTATATTTTTCTCTTTGATATCAAATTAAGGTGATTCAAATTGCATTGAAAAGACAACTCAAAGAGGCTACATTCTTCTAAAAATATCATTTTTGCCAATTCAAATGTTTACTGTGCCAATTATGAGTCTCATTTAGAGTCTAAAAATTCGGAGCATAATCTTTTTCGCTGAAAATTGATGTGTGAATATATTTTGACTATATTTCACCATTTTCGCTTCTTTTCTCATCTAATTGAACCCTAGCATTATCTAATTCTTATCGTGAGGTTCAATACAATTTTGAATATTTGAACTTTAGTCCTCAAACTTTGAATATCTTACAATTAAACCTCTTTTCACCATTTTTTCCCTCTAATTTCATCATTTATACTGATTTGTACCCAAAAAACACACTATGCATAGAATTAAGCACACTACGCATAGAATTAAGTCATAATTTATCAAAATAACAAGTAAATACCCTAACTTAAATGTCAAAATAAGTGTACAAAATATACTTATCACAAACCATACTTCTCATCTTCACTTGTTCTAAATCCTATGACTTGATGGTTTGGAACTGCTAAAGTTAGTAGTGGTGAATTTTTTGATTCATGATCAAAATTGGGGCGCCTTACATTTTTCGATTCTCAAGAAACCAATAATGTGGAGAGCAAGGATTCAAATTCCCCTGAAGACTAAAGAATGTTCTTGTCAATTATAACGAAATTGATTACAAAAAAGGAAAATCGAGCACATTAAGCCTCCATTTACCCTCATTAATTTTCATTCCATTTTTCTCTATCCTACTTTCAACCAAACAATCTTCCATAAAATAATATTACATGTAAATTGAAAATTTTTCTTTCTTTTTTAACCACCCATTTTTCAAAAAAAAACATGATTCCACCCATTTTCATTTTCACAAAATGGGGGCCAAACGGGGGCTAAAATTACCTTCTTTGACCTTTTAGCAATAATTGAATCAATTTGATGAAATTGAAATGTTGAGAACCAATTTACTATGGAAAATCACACATATACATCAAGACTTACATAATGCCATAGATTACTTTAACATTTGTCAGTTTAAAAATACAATCAATTTTTTCAATCAATATTTTTCCTCCACATTATTTCGATCATTTCCATTTACTAAATTTTTATGATCACTGATCCACTTGTTGCAAGTGCTAGAATTTTTTTTACAATAAGTAAAAACATCTATTTTATAAAAAACACGTGATTAACACGTGGCCATGTGGGGAACCTACTCTCTCGGGCACTGCCGCTGATCCACCATTGTGATAATCTTAAAAATATCAAAACACAAGACTGCTTTGACTCCATGACAATGACAGTGCTAAAAAGGAAAAAAATGGAAGAACTCAAGAACCACGTAAACATCATGAAATGAAATTATGCATTTGTGTCTAAAATTCTTGATAATATCATTACGACTTATATATATATAAAGTTTAAAACTGTGACCCAAAATCCCCATTGAAAAGCAAGAAGTATAATAATAATTAAACTAAAAGGTCCACTTGAAGATCTTGAGATCAACCTTACATTTTGCATCAGAAGTATTGGCCAAGGCAGGATTTTTGCCCTTTTGCACCCATCCACGAATGCCATTACACTTGACTCTGATTCCGACCTTTTTGGTCTTCAGCTTTTCCATTTTCACCCCTATCATCGTGTCCACCACAATCTGTAATGGGATCCCATTTCTCTTCTTCAGATCTGACTTCAATGAATTCAATTCGTCCCCGTCTAATAATTGGTAGTTTAATCCAGTTGTGGCGTGTATTATGAAAATGGTGCCTGGTGAATTGGTGAAATTTTTGAAAGAACCAGATGATATGGTTACTTGATTAGATGACACTGTGATGGACATGGGATCGTAGTAGAATATCACCTTTGTGTTGGAATTTTTGGCGGAAAGAGTAAGGTTCAATTGAGTTGTTAAGTGGGTTGTGCCGTCGAAGGTGGTGGTGGTGAGGTTGAACTGGGTGATTTTCAGGGAGGAGACGGAGAATGCAGGGCGGTGGGGGTGGTAGAGTATGTAGAAGGCAGCGGCGGCAATTGCGACAAGGAAGAAAATAGCAATGAGTAGGATAATGGACCCGAAGCAAGATCGGCAGAAGCAACGGCGGCAGCTGAAGCGTCGACTGCTGAGGTTGCGGGCGGTGGGGTTAGGACGGTAGGGGTGGCGCATGGGGTTGTAAAGCTGGGTTTTGGTTGCTGTCTTGTTGGTGCTGGGCCTGGTGGCTGCGGCGGCAGCGGGGTTGAAGAGGAAGAGGAAGAGGAAGAGGAACACTCTTACTCTTAACAATGACGAATGTTACGTTAATTTCATCCTTGGTCACTGAACTTTAAAGAAAATATCAATTAGGTAACTAAGCCTTTGTTTGATTCCCTTTAAAATTTTAATATATTGTTCTTTTTTCTTTATAACCGCACATTCTTTAATAAAATAATATTACATATAAATCAAAAAATTTGTACAAGTTATACATTTCGTCATGCTTGATTTTTAACCACATTCTTTCAAAAATTAATATTTCAAAACACGTCTTATCTAAATTTCTCATTATATTGAACAGGGGCTAAATGTTTTTTCTCAATTAAACTATAAAACTTTAATTTAGTTTCAACTTCCATCATTCCATAACATTTAGTCACAAAATGTCTATATGAATGGAAACTGCTTATTTGACAACTAATTGACATAGCTTATGACACCCTAAAAATTTAAATTAATAAATGCAAGTTTATGGAAAATGTAATTAGATTATGTTAAGCCCCTTTTTAAGTCCCATTATTTCAAACTTCATTTTTTTAAAACTTATTTTTAAACAATTTTCCTGATAAATGATTTTACACATAAATTTAAAACTTATTTCAACTTTTTAACAACATATTCTAAAAAACACGCTATTAAAAAATTTATTTTTCCAACAAAATAGGGCTCAGATAGTGACTAGCTCTTTTATAACGTAGCATAGTAATAATACTATTGATTAAATAATTTTCATCAATTTAAGAAATGATACATGATGGAGTCGTGAAATTAAAAACTATAATGAAGTTCAGGGACCCAATTAAGATTTGGCTCACAGTACAGGGACCCCAGATGAAATTTACCCCGTAACGTTTCACGTCACCTCTTGTTTTTTCTATACGTCTTCCTTTCTTTTTCTATACTGAACTCTTTACCTGCCGCTTGGATTGTATGTATAGTGCATGTATATATGTGATCTCTGATTACTAGGCATGGTGTTGACACGTGGGGATCTTACGAACAAAAGAAAGTGGGGCCCAGTTTGAGAGACCACCAACGGAACTTTTTTGGATGAGTTACATTTTTATTTTTTCAACTGTTGTTTGACTCCCATTTTTTTTAGGGTGCATTTTTTTAAAAATTCATTTCCAACCACAAATTCTTCTATAAAATAATTATATACTCATTTCAAAAACGTTTTCTTACTTTTTAACTATACATTTTTCAAAAAAATACTATTTTATAATACATTTTATCCTAAAAATGAAAATCAAACATGGGATCAATCTTGAGAGCATGTTCGATGATTTTCTATATTAGATATAAATTGTTGTTTAAATTTTTGAAGTTATCGAAAACATCCAATGGAAAGAAGCGAAGGAAATATAAAGTAAGTTTTAAAAAAAAATGTAAATTTACATTTATTTTTAGATCTACATGTGGGATCGACAAGAGACAAAAAGCTATCAACTCACTTGCATCCAATTATTTTAAGTCTATTAATTAGAGTAAAACTTGAATTTAGATCTATGAGGATGTAAATGTGGTGCTACTTTCTTCATCTTTCCCTTCATGTTTTGCAGTTTTTTTCTTACATTTCTTGACCCTGTTTGGTATAAATTAAAAATTATGTTAACATTTCAAGTCAAAATCAACAATTAATTTTAATATCACATTTTATGAGATTCACAATTTTTCAACTATACGTTTCATCAACTTTTATCAAGACATATTAAAAATCTAAATTTAATCAACACCAACCAACAAGAGCTTAGTTTATAACAAGAAAAACTGGGCCTGGATGCTCTAGTTGATGGGCTTAAATGCAAGTTATAGCTTCAAGAATTCTCTATTGTATGTCACTTCCCAAATTACTCTCACTAGTTCACGTTTTGTTGTGCTTACAATGAAGGTTTTTTCCCTTGGGTTGTGTGGGATGGGGACAGAGGCAGTCTATCATGACAGATCAATTATAAGGTTACGAATAATGCAATTTAGCATGATAGGACATCATCAGTTTAGGTGACGATAAATGATAGGTTCAAAAAAAAAATAAAATTAAGTAATTCATTTAATTATATATCTCATTTAATGTCACAAACGTATTTTAACACTACTGCTAAATAGTATTAAGCCCCTGTTTGAACCACATTATTTTAAAAATGAGAATGAAAAATATAGTCATTATGGATCCCACACAAGAGATAAAAAGTCAAATATGGTGGCTTGATGTGATGAATAACGGTCATATTTTTCATTTTAATGAGGAAATAATGGAGCTCAAACAAGGCCTAAATGATATATATTTTTATTTTGTAGAAATGAATTGGATTAATTTTTAAATTTGGCTTCAATCAAAACAACTTTAATTAATAATTAATAATTTATTAAATATCACATCAAGTGAGAATAATTTTTTGAACGATTTTAATCTTTCTATAATTCAGTTATTTTAACAATACTTTACTTATAATTTTTCAATATATAATAAATACATGAATTACTTGTTATAAATTATCAATTAGTTAATATTCACATTAATATAAATTCAATGAATATTGACCTGATGAATCTTGATTTACATGAATCTAAAATTATTATAGGTGAATTTATTTACATTCATGTATCTAAGAATTTTAATGAGTATTTAATTCATATATCAGTAATTAATTATTATGTATCAAATGTAGTATAAAAAGATTACCCATTTGTATTTTTTCACCATCGCAAAAAAATTGAATCATAGAATTTAAATTTTGAGAACAAAATTTTCTTCTTTTACATTTCTATCCCAAATTTTATTTTCTTTAATTCATTTGAGACTCGTCAAATCCTTCCAAAAAATTGGTATCAAATATTATTCTTACAGCACTTATAAAGTACTTCAAAATAACATGCAATGCACGTTCAAATCTTACTAATTAATAAGAAAATCTTACATATCATGCTACCGTAATTAAAGCGCAATCAATTGTGTTAATTCTACCAGCAATATAATGGTATGAAGACTAACGGAATTATATATTTAATGTGTAGAAATGAATTGGATTAATTTTTAATTTTTTTTAATATAGTGTTATTTAATGTGTCTTGGTATCAATAAATATAAACTATTCACATTTAAATTATTTTTTAATGTAGGAGTATTTTATGAAAAATGTAATAAAAGTTTATATTTTCATTTTTCAACTAATTTAATTACATCTTTCTAATTTGCATGAAAATGAAAGCAAATCTTTCTTGAGGAGAAATAAAACACTTAAAACAAAAATAGAAATCTATGGGATGACTGCCCAATTAGACTAAGAACTTTGATCCCATTTCTTAAATATCATTTTTTTTTCTTTTAATGTTATTTCTAATCACGCATTTCTTAAAAATTTACGTGCGTTATATGTTAGCTTGATGGTAGGAACCAAAACCGTATAGCCTAGAATATGAATTATATTCTCTCTTTATATAATAGCAAACGATTGTGAAGCTAAGTGAATGATATATACACAGTGAACACATTCTAATATGGTATTAGACCTTAATCATGGGCAATGTCGTACCATCAAACCCTAATCCTTCCCTTTCTTTACCTCGCCAACCATGTCGCCAGACTCCGATGCAAAGAAACAAATTGGTGCATCTCTATCGAATTTCATCTTCATCGAATTCACAGCAGAAATCACTAAAACTCTTACCAAAGTCCAAACACTAACACTGACCCTGACCACCAAACCTTTCGTTGCTCCGTTCAGCATCAAGTTGGTGTTGACCTATGGTTGATTATAACCTTAAAGTTTTGATTATAACAAATAAATTAATTTTGTTTACTAACAAATTGAATTTAAGTGATTAGAGTTTTCAAAAGAAAAACTAATCGACGATCGTCAAAAGATCAAAAGTTATCATCACAAATTTTTTTATGAAGAAAGACAAAATCGAAGTCACATATTCAAAAACTTAAGAGCCAAATTTCGGAGCAGGATCAAAGACTTGATTCCTTGGATAAAGTATAAATGTACTAATACTTTGATATTTGACAATGAATATTTAAGCTCAAAATCTATTTATGCATTAAAGATGATTTTTGTGCATTAAAAGTCATTATAATGCAACGTTTTGATCAAATAAAAAGATAACTTTTAAAATGATATTTGAATTTGAAAAATATCGTTTATCTTAAAAAATTAGTTAAAAATACTTTCCAAAAGTCCATGTTTATCAAAACTTTCAGATCGATTCAAAAGGGACCAAAACGTAAAAATATCTAAACTGCCAAACAGTCAACCCGTCGGACGAGGCGATCAACCGAAAATTTCTAACAGTAAAAAAATTGACCATTCTGACATCTAATTTTTACTATACAAACGACTATATTGATCATCCGAACAAGAGGTGCTCGACCGAATATGTCATCCGAACTTACAATTTTTTTTTTAGCTTTTTGATCTCTATAAATATCCTCACTCTTTTATTCTTCATAAGACTTTCATGAGTATCAAAGTGAGATTTTTTTATTTTTTATTTTTTTTAAGAATTCTTTAAGCTCTCCTTTGCATTCATTTCTTTTTTTTTTTCTTTATATCAAAAACTTTAATTGGTTTAAACTCTTTAACCATCATCTTTATCAAAAATTTTCATCTCTCTTTTTGGACTTAACTTATTTCTATCATTCATAGAAGATAGATATATTTTGAAGAAAGGTTTTGAACTTACATTATATCATTTCTTATACTTCTCTATACCAAAACTTCGATTTATTGAATCAAACTTGTACAATCATCATATTCACCAAAGTTTCTTATTTCTCTCTTGTTATTTAATTTATTACAATCATTCATTAAAATATAAATATATTTTAAGATGATTTTTTTACTTACATTTTACTTATTTCATCTTCATTTTTTTATTGAAAAACTTTGATTGACTGAATCAAATTGTTAATTATTATATTTATCAAAATTTTTCATCTAACACTTGGGTTGTCATTTATTGTCATTGATTGAAGTGTTAGTCATTCTTAATACTTAATTCATTTGTATTATTTATTAAGAGGGAAATTTTATTGTAAAATCATTGCTCTAAACTTATGGATCGTATTGAGGTCCCGTGAAAGCTAAATAGCATAAGGATCGGTACTCATTGTCGTAAGTCATCGTGTGGTGGTCGATCGAGAATTTCTAATGGTCCAAAATTTACCATTCCAACCTCTAATTTTTACCATACAAATGGTTATATTGGTTATTTGGACAAGAGACAGTCAACGGGACATATCATCCGAACTTACAGATTTTTTAAGCATTTTGAACTCTATAAATATCCTCTCTCTTTCCATTCTTCATGCGACTCTCAAGCACATCAAAATGAGATTTATTTATTTTGAGAATTCTTTGAGCTTTCCTTTACATTTATTTCTTCATATAAAAAATTTTGATTGATTCAAACTCTTTAATCATCATCTTCATCAAAAATTTTCATATCTTTTTTTGTACTTAACTTATTTCTATTATTCATAGAAGATAGATATATTTTGAAGAAAAGTTTTTAACTTACATTATATCATTTCTTCTACTTGTCTATACTAAAAGTTTGATTTATTGAATCAAACTTGTAAAATCATCATATCCATCAAAGTTTTTTTTTCCTCTCTTGGTACTTAATTTGTTACAATAATTAATTAAAATAGATATATTTTGAGAAGATTTTTTAATCATATGGTACTTAGTTTTTCTTCATCTTCTTATTGAAAAACTTTGATTAATTGAATCAAATTCTTAATTATCATATTCTCTAAAGTTTTTATCTAACACTTGAGCTATCATTTATTTTTATTCATTAAGCGTTAGTCTCTCTTAGTATTTAACTCATTGTATCATTTATTAAGAGAGAAATAAAATCATTGCTCTAAACTTGTAGGTTGTATTGAGGTCTTGTGAAAGCTAAATAGCATAAGGATTGGTGCTCCTTGTTGTAAGTCATCGTGTGGGTCATATTAGAATCCTGTAGAACTTAATATTGTATAAAGATCAGTGCTCCTAGTTTGTAAACCACCAAAAGCATTTTAAATGATTGGATTGCACCATAAATCAATCAATAAAGTGAAAAAACTTTGATTGTGTCGTAAAGCTTAATAATAGATAACGTAGATCATTATTTTGGATCGAGCCCCCACACTGGCATCGTTTTCATCCTCTCTTCCATTTTACTTATTGTTTTCATATTTACGCTTATAATTTGAATTAATCTATTTAGTCTTTATTTGATTGAATTTAGATTAATTTTTCGAAAAAATCTTAAAATCCAATTCATCCACCTCTTGGTTAGTTATTCTTAGGCTTTCAGTTGGATGGCACCAATTATGCTCACTGGTCCCAAGTTGTAGAGATGTATATTTCTGGCAAAGACAAGTTGGGATATATCAATGGAGATATTCCATAACCACCTTTAGTGGATCCATCCTTTCTCAAATAGCACATAGACAACGCCATTGTCCAAGCTGGCTTATTAACACCATGGATTCCTTATTAATAGAGAATTTCACTAGGTTTCCTATGACCAAGTTGGTGTGGGACTCCATTGCTACCACTTACTTTGATGGGAGTGACACGTCTCAAGTCTATGATCTTAGACGTTGTGTGACACAGTTTAGACAAGGTGGAGGCTTCTTTGAGAAATACTATAATGACCTTCAGGGGTTATGGCATGAGATTGACTTTTGGCATCCTAATCCAATGAAGTATGCAGTTGATATTCATAACTATAATACTATCATTTAAGAAGACCAGGTGTATGTTTTCTCGGATGGCCTTGACGATCGACTCAAAATGATTTGGAGTGACGTGTCGCGACTTCACCCATTTCCTACCATAGAGCAAGCTTATGCTCATGTCCGTCACGAAGCAATTCATCAGGCTATGATCAGTGGCAATGCAGCTGCTATTCTTGGATCTATTCTCACCACCAAAAATCTTGGACTTAGTCCTTTCTGACCAATTTTCTACCGTGTACAATGGGAGACAGAAATCATCATCAGAGGGTTCGAAATGCACCCATTATGGCAATCAAAAGTATGCCTATGAAAACTGGTATCCTGATTGGTAGAATGATCTCTAGGCTAAGAAATGTCATCACACGAGCAATAAAGACGAACATCCTAGTAAAGCGACCGTGGCTACTACAGAGCCTTACATATCCTTTAAACCACAGGCAGCACTGGTCCCGAACTCTAGTAATGGTGGTTGTGTTTGATATAGTTCATCTAATGATGTTGACCGTGTTGCATTGCTGCTGGACTTCGGAGCCATTAATTACGTGACGTTGCAGTTGATTTCTCACAAACTTCTTTACCGAGACATACCAATATCATGTTAGAGCTTTATCACGATCTATCATGTGAATAAACAACAACATATAGATCAAATGCGAAAACTGAAGATCATAAACTAACCTCCATCCATTGTCGTTTGAACTGCAGAATTTCGAATTGTGTTTGGTGCTTCCAAGCCTTCAAGACCTCTCTGCGATGGTGTAGTTTCATGAAAGTCTCGGCTCGGGGACCAATACCACTTTATTCCCTTTATATACTTCTTCCCATCAAAGAAGTTACGAAATGTGAACGGTTACCACAAAGTAGGGAAGATGGACAGTTATGAGAAGGTGAATAACTTCCAATAAAAGAAGAAGATAATTGGACCATTTAAGACCATTTAAAAATACCAACAAAGGTTTACATTCTTCCACTTGGTCCATACATTTCACTCGATATGATATCGAAAACCCATCAATTCTCACTTTCAAGAAACAAAAATGCATGAATCATGGCGACAGGTCCTCTAAAAGCGAGTATTATCTTCCATGTATTACAATGCATTATGTCTCTCAATCCCATATAGCTTAATGAATAAACCCTTTGTTTATTCAAGGTCCAAACTTTAATGATGTTTCTCAAAATAAATGAATGAATAAACAATTGTGCACAAAACCATATGAGAAAACATCAAACTGAGTAAGAGTTTCATTGAAACAATAAATGTACATACAACGAAATCACATCATGGAACCAAGTCCCATTCGTGTTACATGATCCTTAAAATTTTTGGGTGGCATGCCTTTAGTTAAAGGATC